CTTGTCTTCGCATAAGTTACAAGTTTTCCTGCAGTGAATCTAAAAGACATCACTCGTTAACGGAGGTCAGAATGAGTCAATAAATTATCGTTCTTCTAAATTATTCTATAACAGAGCATGAGCTATGAATAATTTTAAAATATGAAAATAATAAACAACTACTTTTACGAAATCTTCCAGTGATTTGACATTGCATATATTAGGATATTCACTGCAGTAAGGAGTTGTATCAGCACAATCACCGAAAATCAGAAGATGTCACATTCAGTGAGGTACTGAACTGTGATAAGAGTGCAACATAACTACCAACCTATTGACTCAGCACATAAACCGCATGTTTTCGGACAATCAACAACCAGAATTTTCTTCCAAATACTGTCAGTACACATTTCCGGTAAGACTTTAGAGCACGGGTAGCTCGGGTCTGCAATTGCCAGTCAGAAATTCACATGTATTTTAAGCTGCATGTTCCTGCATATCTCCACTATCTAAAAGAGCTAGTGACAATTTGTGGACAATTAAGTACTTTGGTGAATAGAAAACCACTGTCGAATAGAAACAGTGAGCGTAGCACACTTGAAATTTGCGTATCTGATTCTTTATAGGATATGATCTGGATGATAGAGAAGGAGCAGCCAAAAATAACCTAATTATTTTATTAAAGAATTTTCACCAGCGTTTGAATTTCATGATAAAGAAAACTTTTGCTTTGATACCATTATTTTAGGTGATCACGAAAAATCAATACGACTCTCTATCATTGGTGCTCTTTGAAATATTCCATTCGTAGCATACTGAAATATACCTCTTGCTTAACGTGAAGCTTTATCGTTGCTGTTATGGTGTTTCGTTGTTTGCGAAATCAATGAGTGGTGATCTTCTTGTGAATCATCGTAATCACTTACTCTCTTTGTTTTTACAGTTGTATTCAGGAGTAATACAACAGTAACCACATGTCTTCGGGCAATAATTAACAGCATGTTGAACTAGTTGTCGATCTATTTTACCTGCTCCATTCTGAAATTCTACTAGCGTTAATTTTACAGAAACGGCAGCAAAGAGGATAAAAAGAAAAGCGTTACAAAACATTACGGTGTCATTTTTACTATGGCTTACCGAAAACGATAAAAGACATTGATCACCTGGATCACCTGGATCACCTGGATTCCCGTTGATCATCGACTGAGTCGAGCGGGCGCCAGTAAAACTCCAGTGGAATCCAATCACTTACAGTTCGTGTCCACCGGTCATCATCCATGCGCATCACGTGTCCGGCCCACCTAATCTTCGAAAGCTTGGCGTGTACGGCTGCGTCTCTGATTTTTGATCGTTGACGTAGATCGGAACTTCGTATTCCCTCTTTCACCTGAGTGATGCGGGAAACGCCAAGCATTACCCTTTCGATTGAGCGCTGTATTGTGCTCAATGAACGTTCATCCTGCTTTCGTAATGTCCAAGTAAAAGACATTGATAACATGATAATTTCATTACACAATTTTTGGAACTAGCCAAGTCCAATTTTTCTACAAAAAAAAATTCTGTTAGGTAATCGGAGGAACAATTACAAGATAGAGTAAAAGCAATGGCACTCATTCTATCCGATTCTGAAACACCGCTAGCCACAGCAGTGTGATGCGATAGGAAAATTAAAGAGACTTTGATCAAATCCAGATCAATCAATTTTTGTTTTAAATGTGAAAACATTGAGACGATGATCTTCACCACCACTAAGCGCAAAACAAACGCGTGTCTTTCATAGAAGATCTTCTGATGTATGCTACGCAAAAGTCCAATAAGAGGTTATGAAGCTCAATGAGTTTAATGAGTGAAATGAATAATACATTGAATTGTTGTTATGCGTGAAAGGCAAAAATATGTTCTTCTGCTTTGTTTCCACTCTAAACAGCTGCTGGTTACACGTAAATGATTTTTTAAATACATGTGATATTATAAATCGATTACCTTATTGATCGCCGAAGAGTAGACAAATTAATAACAATATGGCTTGAAGAGACAAAAATAAGTACTTATTGTAGCTGTTTATTTATTTGTGACTTATTTTCATCTTTATTTATCACTTAGTCGAAAACATTGCAGTTTAAGAGTGAGCGTTCATTATCAAACTGAAGAAACAAAATTATTAATATTAACATTATTTTTTCCACTATTAATTTACGAAGTCAGAAAAGTGTCACTCAACCTTAAAACAGCTGGTTTCACGATCAGTGTCGGATCCAACTGTTATACCTTTCGGATAGAACATTTTACATTTGTCGTCGGAAAGCTTATCTTCACAGTTTGCCGCCGTCTTAGCAAACTGCAAAATGTTGAATTTTATTAGGACAAATTTTTTGGAATGTTGTGTGAATCTAGACAATACGGTTAAGACTGTGAGAGCTTTTAACGACAATAACTATTCGCAACAGCCAACTCTGAATTCGGAATTCGCTAATCAGTACGTCGTTGAAAAGGACGACGCAAATTGCAAACAGCAGTACTACCCGTTATATACGACTAATATTGGTACTGACTTAGCACATAAGAAAACAATTTTACTACTCGGTATCATACGCATCTAGATAATTGACAAACCTGTAGTGTTCCGAGAACGGGCACAGTACATCTTCGATCTTCTATCAAAGCTGTAACGCCGGCTATAAGTGCCATGCAAAATAGCATCCTCAAAGCTTAGTAGTTCTTCTCTGTTGAAGATTCACTGATGAGAATAGATGGCGATTTGATTCATTACATGTATGAACATTTTTATAGTGTTATTAGTCAACAAATTACTTATACACTTTATGAAAAATCTCAGCTGAACAATTTGATATCATCCGTTTCCACATGACGTGATCGACAATGCATAGTTCAATTTGAAACAATAGAAACAAACAAAATGACGATTGAAATTTATCGGTTCATTAACGTTTTCATGATCCTCATCGTATATCCATCAATCAGCCATTTCAAATCTTCTTAGAATTCTATCATTGAAAGGAATTCAACCTTAAGGAACTTTTTTCTTCTAGAATTTCACATACTATTGCGTTTTCAATCAATAAACCTTCCAACGAGGTCGGACTATTGGAATTTCAACTTTTTTCCACTATAATTTACTATTGTGAACTCAAACAGCTCGTTCTCCTTTTCCTTTATATACCATTTTACAACTTTCTTGTACGTTGCATCGGAATAAATCAATAAGGTTACTTCTCCTTGACAACTCTTGTGAAAAATAAATAATAAATTGTGAATAAGCAAATGTCTAGATCTCAGAGCGGATGTTGTGTGCTACTCAGCACTTTGTCACTCTTTATGTAGAGTCTGAAATCATCTTTCATCTCTATTAAGGGTTCCAATTGATTTTATCCTTCTATTTTAAATATATATAATTAGCAGATTAATATTTCAAAAACACAAATATTTTATCTTTTTGCTGAACAAATCGAGCGCAGTGTTGGAGGTGCCCAGTGATACAAAAGCATCAACCAGTGGGCAGCCGCTCCCAGGCCTACTAAACCTGCCAACTCTACAACTTGCAAAGTACAGCAACGAAACTGCCGGGCAGTCAGCGGGCGCCTGTGAGCCAGTGTCTAGGCGGTAGATTGGTGTGGATGCAGTGAGGGGACGAGTCCCACGGCTGCCGTGGAGTGTGGGGAGCGGGCGTCCTTATCAAACGTTGCGTCTACAGGGTTGTGCTATCAGCGGATAGCCTTCTCCCGGGCGGTCAAGCAGGAGTGCACGGCAAAGGCTCGCAAATGGGCACACCCTCATATGAAAATACTTATGAGAATACTATCCTTTAGTTGTACACTTATTTCTGCCTAATACGCTTCTCACACTGGCTCACAGGCGTTCAGTGATGACCCGGCAATCTAGCTGAAAGAAACGACATTGAGGCTTCAAAATGGTGCAGTTATTAATTGAGCACGCATATGTTATTTATATACTAAAATAGAAAGAAAAACTCACGGCTGAGTAGAGCCGGATCCATCCTGGGACTTTTCTTACTCCAAGCAAGAATCATATCACTAGACCACACAGTCCGTCTCCTTTTATGCTCTTCAATTCCATAGTCGAAGGGAATGAAGATTTCGAGAGCCGTGGTAGTGAAGTGCTGCCACTGAGTGGGCGAAGGTGTCAAGCGCTGCGTCGCCATGGTTATCACGTCGTAGGATGGCGTGACCCTGGCGGTCAGAGGGAGGTGTGCGGCTAAGCCTGGGAATGGGGCAAACACATCATTATAAAAAGGCTATACTGTAGTCGTCTACTTTTTGTCTGCTTAATACGCATTCCCTAACATTGCATTTGTTCTTTTGAAATAGCTTGCAAGTGTAGCAGCGAAATTGCTAGAATGCCACCGGGTGCCGTGTAGGGCGGCTGTGAGCCAGTGTCTAGGCGGTGGATCGGTGTGGATGGAGTGAGGGGAGGAGTCCCGCAGTGGCCGTGGAGTGCGGCGACCGGGCGTCGGTGTCAAGCGCTGCGTCGCCAGGGTTGTGCCATCGGGGGATGGCATGTCCCGAGCGGTCAAGAAGTGGTGTACGGCTCAGGACCGAAAGGGAGCAAGCAAAAATCACGGCGCGATACAGTGACTGGACAACGCCCATGAGCACCCGCTCTGTCGTGGCCTCTCCGATACCTTCAGACCTCCAATCGTTTTTGAACTTACTAAACGTCTTTTTCTCCGTCAAAACAATCCAGGTAAATAGCCCAGGTAACCTTTGACACTCTTGTGATCGTGTGAATATGGTCCATCGTGCTGAACCCTTTTCGGAACCCTGCTTGCTTACGTGGTTGTTTTTCGTCTAGTCTTCTGCCAATCCTGTTAAGGATGATTCGTGTAAAAAGTTTATAGACGACTGACAACAAACAGATTGGGCGATAATTGCCAATGTCGTAAACGTCTGCGATGTAGGTTAGGCAAAACCTTCTATTTACTATGACATAGTCTATTTCGTTATGGTACTTTCCATTAGGAGACTCCCACGTCCATCGCAGGGAAAGGGGCTTTTGAAATTGAGAGTTACCATGGTACACTTTGTTTGTCATGATAAACTCTGACAGCCGCTCTCCCTGTTCATTCCACTCGGGTCCATGGGTCCCAATGTGACGTTCTTCAGGCGTTCTTCTACAGCCAATTTTAGCATTAATGTCGCCAACAATGACTTTGCAGAATGTGCGGTGTTATCTGTGGAACTTCTCCAAGTCCATATAGAATGCTTCGATTTCATCTTAATCGTAGTCCGAAGTAGGAGCGTAGACGATAAAGATGGTCAAAACCGGTGTCACGTCTTCTAAATTTTAAGAGTCCGATTCGAGTCGTTAGTTGTTCAA